CCCTAGCAGCAGTTGTTGGAACTGAGGCTGGCTGTAGTCCAGGACATCTCCTGAGATTGAGACAGACATTCTGTCAGTATCTTGCTTGACATCTCAGCATTGCTTGCAGATGCTGAGCCATTTCACTTCACAGAATCCTCCAAATCGAACCTTTGTTTCTACAGTTCTTAAAGTCATTATCTGATACCACTTTTTATATTGTAAGTTCTTGTGTGTGTGAATATGCTTTTGTATGAGCGGTGATTCCCTTTTACAAATAAAACTACAATTGGACCTTGCATTCTGGAGTTTTGTTTCTCGGAACCAGTATACACAGACTTGATCCCTGCTTTGAGTTGCTTAAGCCCTCTTGGCTGCTGTTATTGAGCTAATTAAATTTTCCTATTTGAATATTAAGTGTGAGTGCCCTCTCTAGACCCTTGCATTTTGGGTGAAAGTATCACAAGAGAAGACTTTCCTCCTTTCTTCTTGTCTTACTTCAACTGGTGCAAACTGAATTCAGAATGCAAAATAGTTTTATTCAATTAACTCAGCAGAGTGGAGAGGAGAAGAGAGGGAAGAATCTTATCCTTCTCAGCAGGTTCAGCCAAAATCAAACTGCAGCAGCATCTTCTATTTATATGGATTGACTGATTTGATTTGATTTGTATGCCACCTTTCTTCCAGAAAGGACCCAGTTTATATGTTCTTCCTCATTAATAACTTTTGCCATCTTGACCACACTCTGATGTCACTTGTCCACATGTGTCCTGATTATAATCTGTGAAATGTTGGAGGGTATGTAGCATCAATCATTCAAGCCCTATTAAGGTATTCTCTAGATAGGTTAAATAAACATGTGGAAAATTAAAATAACAGCTAAAGCCAGATGCCTAGCAGTCCCTTGAATCACTACTGCTCCAAGAGTGCAGAAAAGTTTATTTTTGGATTCCAGGGTTCAGAAGCCCCAGACAGCATGAGCAATGGCTGGAGGCTTCTGGGGATTATATTCCAAAAGTAACATTTCAATGTTCTGGCTACCACCACCATTGCATGTTAGGCCTGCCATGTAAAGCCAACCCAAACTAACAGAGCAGCAGGGCAGGTGAATCATTCAGCTTTCCAGATGTTATTGGACTGAAGCTCCCAGCAGCCTTACCCAGTGGTTAGAAATGCTTGGAGCTATGGTGCAGTAGGGCCACATGAGTCCCACCCCTGCATTAGGCTAAGTCAGGTGGCCAACTGTTCTGTAGTCCTAACCTTGCTTGCTATCTTCAGGTATGGTTGTAGACACTATCCCATTGCCAGGGTTGAAGTAGCACTCAAAAATTGTGCTGATCAATTTACACTAGAGAAGTGAATATGCATATTTGTGTGTGTTCACACACATGCCATTTTATCCTCTGCTCCCAGACAGCAAGTTATCATACAGCCAGGGCCCTCTAATGGAAGGTAGGGCTCCCTTACATAAGGAAGAAGGACTGCTAGCCAACATGAACAAACATGTAATCATCTTTTACAATATGGCTGGCATTCTGCGCCAATTATGATGGCATAGGTTAGATTCATATCATCACATTTTTGGTCAATGGGAGAGTTGCAATTCTGTTCTGACTGTGCAATGACCAAAATCCCACCCCACCCCAAACTGACCTTATAAGCAGTATAGAAACCTGTCCCATAGCCATTTCCATGTTGGTGGAGAACAGGGGCATCAGCTATGGTGCATCCAACTATTCTCCTGTAGATGGATATTCTGCAATGAAGTTACCTACTGTGTCTGCCTGAGGAATCCAGAGGCCTCTGCAGATGTCTGACATAATACGTACAGTTACAGGGAAATAGCTGGACACATCCCACTCATCCCCCTCTTTTCTGACAACATAGAAATTGCCGTATCTGTGGAGAGGGGTTTTTACAAGGTGAGCTTTTGGAAGCTAGCACCGGGAGACATAACTACACAATACATATACATCTTCTGGCCTATATTTCCTTTTAAGGTTTGAGTGCATTTATCTTCCTACCCAATAACACTCTCATTCCTCACTGTCTTCTGTGATATCACTCTTCTAATTTAGGAGAGGCTGCTGGAAAACCAATAATTCAGTTTTCTCAAAGCCAACCATTGGGATAGCAAATAAATATACAAAAGGTGCAGTCTTCTCCAGTGAATACTGAGGAAGAAGACAGTTTTAATATTCCTCCCAGAGATGCCTGGCTAGTTATTGCTAGAAACAGAATACTTGATCCACTAGGGCCTTTCTTATGAAGGAAGCTTAATTTTCCTTTAATTCAATTTCTCATTGCACCACCTAGCCTCACAACACAGGTATTTTTGGAAAAAAATCATAATAGTAAAATAAGTTATCAATTATTCAATAAACAATCCTATTAGAAATAGTACCAGCTTAAAAGCATTTCAGACATAATAACGGGGACTATAAACACTCCCTGCTCCCTAATAAAAGACCCTTCAGCTTCTGCCAGTTAGTAGCCCAAAGCCTCTGTGAATAAAAGGGTCTTTTGCTGCAGGCAAAAGGATAGAAGTGACTGTGACACTGCAGTGTATAGCCTGTGTTGGGGTTCATCCCATGATTGTGTCCCCACACACACACACACACACACACACACACTCCAAATTGGCTAAAGGCTGGAAAGCAGCACCTCAGGGACTTGACCTCAAAATCTAGTGATCATCTCCAGCACACAAAGGTGTTAAAAGGAAAGCTCTTTCTCCTTGTCCTAGAATCTAAAGGCTCCTCTTTATGACAGCTAAATGTAACTCTTTGAATAAAAACAATAATTTCAAACTTGTTTCCAAACTAAAGAGATCTTCCAAGAAAAGATTTTAGCAAAACACCCGGGGCACTGCCAGCAACACTTCACTGCATCCATCTCTTGATTTCAGGCCTGATGGGGACAATCAGAGACATTCATTTCGATACATGCACTTCTCTTTTTCTCTGGAGCTGCGTGACACTGGAAGATGTTCTTACACTGAGGATCTGTTAAGTTGCTCTACATAGCTGTATTTCATATTGTAAGACTATTTTAGGGAGACAGATGCAGTCATTGTTAAGTGATATCTAAATTGGGATGGAACTACTTGTTACTGTGACAAGTGTGCATTCGCACACCCACGTCTGCTAAGATAATGTGAATATAGTAGGTAGGGTGCATTTTAGGTGAGGATTGACAGGAGGAAAGGGTGCTTAACCTCATTTTGGTATCATGCCGGAACCAACTCCTTTGCTTCCAGGATAGCTTTAAGTCAAGCTAAGACACACCTAAGCATACAATAGCATTGGGCTAAAGTGAAGAGGACATGAAGAGTATGTAGTATAGAAAAAACTAATTTCCAATGTTTTCAGAATCAATTCCCCTAGGTGGGAATTATGAGGCTGCCAAGTCTTTTTGCACCAACTAGAGTCCCCTGCACCCATACACCCGCATTGCCAAAAGTATTTGGGGAGCTAAAATATGGAGTAGCAGTTTAAATATGAAACTACAACTCTGGTGACCAGGGTTCAATCCCCTGCTTGGCCACGGAACCCACCGTGTGAACTTGGGCCAAGTCACATGCTCTCAGCCTCAGGTAAAGCAATGGCAAACCTCCTTTGAATAAATCTTATCAAGAAAACCCCATGATAGTGTCGCCTTAGGATCCCATAAGTCAAAAACAGCTTAAAGGCACATAACAACGAAAAATATGGAGATTCATCCTACAGAGGGCTCTAGAAGGAGTGATTCTCCCATTTCATAAACTGAAAGTGTGGGAAACTGAAAATTTCCTTCAGGTGAATGAGGCTCACAGGCATTGTTGGAGGGTTAGAAAATGTTCCCCCATAATCTTAGCAAATCCCTGCTCTGGCTAAAAAGTATTGCCCTTCTCACTTTATGCTCCATGTTCACTTGTTTTTTGCCTAAACAACAACAACTTGCCTAAAACCACCCATTAGGTGGCAGTATTAACCTGCCAAAAGTCACATGGCCTTGAGGCGACCATAATCTTTTGGTGTGAAGTCAGATTCTCTCTGACTAGAAATCTTTTCAAAGGCATAAGGTGTTTTCTTTATTCCAACAAAAAGAACACTGCAGACATTGCCATCATATTTTACAACAGATATATACACTTGGAGGGGTTTTTTTAGCAGAGAATACAAGAGCAGCAATGCTAAGAATGATTAAAGTCCCTAAATCCTATTTACTGAACAAGCAGCAAAAATAAAGTCACTACTCTTGGCTTATGTTCCTCAGTTTCAAATTGCCCATAGCAAATGGAATAAGCAAGCAGATGAAGAGGCAACTACCCAAACTTTTGCTTCTGCTCACATTAGTTAGGAGATATGGGGGCTAAAATTTCCCTTTGCCATGTCTTGCCTCGTAAGGAAGAAAATGCCTGAAGGATATAATAAGGTGCGGATAGGTTTACCACTTTACCCACTGCCAAAAGCAAAAAGACATTATTGTTTAAAATGGCAAAGAAGGATATAGAAATCCATACATGTATTTCATACTGACATACGTACATCTGGAGTACAATATAATTGTTGTTGTGTGTCTTCAAGTTGTTTCTGACCTATGGTGACTCTAAGGAATCATGGAGTTTTTTTGGCAAGATTTGTTCAGAGGGGCTTTGCCTTTTGCCTTCATCTGAGGCAAAGAGACCTTGCCCAAGGTCACCCAGTGGGTTTCCATGGTTGAGCAGGGATTCAAACCCTGGTCTCTAGAGTCACAGTCCAGTGCTCAAACCATTACACCACACTGGCTCTCAATTATAGCATAATTACTATAATTTAAATAGAAATACAACACCATAGCTAAGAGTAGATGTACGTGCTCAGTCTTCTGTATGAATGTCAGGTGTCAGGATGGAAACCGTCTTGACTCAGACCTTGAAGAGACCTCTGCAGAGGGATCTGTATGACTCCAAAGGTAC